GGGCCGGGAGCAGGGCTGTGAAATGTTCGGCTCACTACAGCCATATGGTCTGTCCCCTTCTCCTCTCCTGCTATAATCGGGAAGCTAGCTAAGCCCTCTTCTGCAGGGTCATAGACTTGGCCATGTTCATCTTTCTGGGGAAGAGCTGGAGAGTCTGTTGCTGAGCTGCAAAGAGAGAAGTCTTGGGCTAGGGCATGAGGTGGAAAGTTTCCTGGGAAGGTGTAATATTTTTTCTTTCTGATTTTTGACATCAGGAATCCAAGTCTTGTCTCGCCTCCTTCTCCCGAACGTCTCCATGGATGATGACAAGAGGACTCCCGAGTGATGGTTCACAGCAGAGGGGTTTCCAGACCGATCATGTTGCTTTGGGGGCCCATTTCCCTGAATGCAGACCCCTTTTCAACTCAAACACCTGATCAACTAGCTCCTGCATGCTCAGGCATGGATGCCGAGGTAACTCTCAGACCCAGGGTTTCCCAAGAAACCCTCCATGATCTTGGAGAGGAAGAATTTGAATCACGGCCAGCGCTACGTTCCACCCGCCTGTAACAGCTCTGGGGTACAAAGCAGGTAACTGAAGCCTGGTACCAATCAGGACTGGTCACCAGGCCCCCACAGCTACCCTGGCAGCAAGAAGAACATAGGACTATCTGACTAAGCAGCAGCTCTGCAGAAAAGGACCTGGGGGTGACAGGGGACAAGAAGCTGGACAGGAGCCAGCAGTGTGCCCTTGTGCCAAGAAGGTGACCAGCATCCTGGGCTGCATTGGTGGGAGCGGTGCCTGCAGATGGAGGGCAGTGATTCTTCCCCTCTATTCAGCACTGGGGAGGCCACATCTGGAGTCCGGTGTCCAGCTGTGGGCCCCCCACTGCAGAAAGGATGTGGACACATTGGAGAGAGTCCAGTGAAAATGGTTGTGGGGCTGGGGCATATGACTAATGAGGAGAGGCTGAGGGAACTGGGCTGATTTAGTCTGGAGAAGAGAAGACCGAGGGGATTGAACAGCAGCCTTCACCTCCCCGCGGGGGGGCTGCAAAGAGGATGGAGCTGGGCTGGTCTCAGTGGGGGCAGATGGCAGGACAAGGAGCAATAGGCTCAAGCTGCAGCAAGGACAGTTGAGGTTGGATATTAGGAAAAACTCTCTCACCAGGAGGGTGGCGAAGCACTGGACCAGGCAACCTAGACAGGTGGTGGAGTTGTTTAGACCCAGGTAGACAAAGCCTTGGCTGGGATGATGGAGTTGGGGTGGTCCTGCTTGGAGCAGGGGGTTGCACTAGATGTGACCTCCTGAGGTCCCTTCAGCCCTCATTGTCTATGAGTCTAGGATCCAACACAGACTGTGTGGGACCACACAGAGGCAGAGGGGCCCTTTGCCAGGCCATTTCATAAGCTTTTCCATCCCAAATTCACCACTCGGTCTCCAAGTCATTGCTGCCAGGCACTCACAACAGACACAGTCCCCAGTGCTTTGAAGAGACGAGGCAGCATCTCCTACAGGGGCAACCAAGGCAGAAGGACAAGCTGGCCGAGGTGGGCAGACCAGGAGACTATCGCCCAGTCTGGTTCTGCGGCCCTTGCAGCAGCACCTGCCGAGGAGGTGGCTCGTTAATGGTGGACCTGGGTCGTGAGGTGTGGTCTGGACGGAGAACACCAGCTCCAGGTCCTGTCAGCAGAGATGCCCCTGAACCACCACTCTGGGGGATGAAAGGCTTCGTGCCCCATTGCCAAGCCCCCGGGACTGTCACGGAGCTGCGGCAACGGCGCAGCAAACACAACCCCTCGAAGCAGCTGCTCAGCCCTTAGCCATTAACCCAGCGCCTCTCCCGGGCAGCTCCCACATGGGCAGAGCTGGGACTCAGCACTTGGGCAAACAAACCCAGAGGCCTCTGACCCCTCCCCGGCCTCCTCCCATCTCAGACATGATTCCCAGCAAGCCGAGGAGACATCAAAAGTCTCAGGGGAGCTTCGCAGCGGCTGGTAATTCTTAATCGTGCTTAACGAGCCCTGACAGCGCAGCCCAGCGTAGCTCACCCCACAGTTGATTTCCAGCAGGCAGGTGCAGTTTCCCAGGCCAGCCTTGTTCCCATCCAGTGCTTCCCTGCATTCCCAGGCCCTCACGCCCCCCTTCAGGGCTCTTGAGCCGGCATCTCCTGACCTGGCAGGGCGTAGTCTCTGCCACCTTAATGGCAGCGTCTTTGGAGCATGAACAGCTCGGTGCCTGCACACTGACCGATGCCATCACCTGACCCTGGCACCCTTGATGTGCCCTTTACTGGACGATTCACAGATGTGGCGGAGGGAGGGGAACCCATCAACCCGCTCCCCAGCACCTGCTAGCTGTGGAAGATGCCTTGGCCTGGCTTGCCCCCGGGAACATTGTGCTGCTTGTCCCCAGACCAGCTGCAGCAGCAGAGCAAAGCAGCCTCGGCCCGCGCCAGCAGAGCAAAGGGACTGCGGGGAGCATGGCAGCAGGAAGGCATGTAGGGGCTGGCATGCCCTTATCCTGGCCCTTTTCCTGTCAGCTGCCCCTCAGCAAAGCAGAATCAATCCCAGCCAGTCTGCCCTGTACAACTGGCAGGAGCAGGTCCCAGGTTGGGAGAAGCCCAGCACGTGGCACGTAGCGCAGGCTGCACAGAGAGCACGGGAATGAGTCGGTCATGACTGCATGTGCCCTTCTCCTTTGGACACTGCCCCTGCACCCCGCTTTCCAGTGTCCCCTCCATGCCAGGTGACCACGCAGCTACTCTGCCCAACACCAGCTGAATGCCAACTCCGTGGCCAGATTCACTGATGGCTGGTACAGATGTGGAGCAACCGCAAACCAGACACCATGCGATCACGTGCGGCCGGGGACTCACCCTGGAGGCGAGTTTGTTTGATGCTCAGCTCAGGACCCATAGATAGAATGAATGTGCGGGGGATGGATGGATGGATGGGAAGAGAGAGAGACAGAGAAAGAAGGTGTGGAGCTAGACGTAGAGAGAGAATAGAAGTGATGTGTGGAAATAGAGAGACAGGACGTGGGGAGAGAGGACAGAAGTAATGTGTGGTGGGGATGTGGAGAGAGAGAGAGAGAAAAGTAGCATGGTGGTACATCTTATACTGCTATCTATAGAGAAAGAGAGATGATAACTATGTTGCTGTATCTATAATATTTGTCTTTATGGATAGATAGATAGAAAAGTAGCATGGTGGTACATCTTATACTGCTATCTATATCTAGAGAGAGAGATGATATCGGTATATCGCTGTATCCATAACATTGGTCTGAGAGATAGATAGATGTAACATGTAGGGGGAGAGAAAGAAACTCCTGTCCATGGAGTGGCCTCATCTCCCTGTCCCTGCCTGGCCTTTGGGGTTGCCTGCCGGCTGATCCCCTGCAAGAGGTGCTGGGAGGTGGGGGTGGGGGGTCCGGAGCCGTGCCGTGCCGTGCCCTGGAGCCGCCCAGGCCTGCTCCAACCCGGCGGGCGTGCGGGGAGCATGCTGCACCCTCCTCCCCCATGCCGCCCCGTCGCTGTCAGGCAGAGGAGCTGTGAGCTGCCCTGTCTCACACAGTAGCTGCGAACCGCGGTGCTGTCACTCACGCTGACATTGCCAGGATAAACAGAATTAAGATCTTATCGGCAGCAGTGCAAGCGTCTCCAGTTTCACCGCTCGTTCTCGGCGCGGCAGAAAGTCCTGCGTTTCCTCCCAGGACCGGCTCAGGTCCAGAGCAGAAGCTGCCGGGCAAGTGGACGCCAGGGCTCTCGCCACAGCCACGGGGGCAAGATTCAGGTGATGCTGCAATGCTCAAAGCAAAGCCCCGTCAAGCTGCCTCCCCCACTCCAAGGTGCGGGCCCTGCTCAGACCTCGGCAGCGGTGCAGCCGGCCAGGCCCAGGCCTGTTAAGTGCCATGGGACTCCCCAAAGAAGGGAACGGAGGGGACATCGCCCACAGCTCCTCCTGCCTGGATCTCCACCATGGGATCTCAGCTCCCCAAGCTTAGCCAGGCCTCGCCCTCTGCTGAGCTGTGAAATGGATATCCATGAAGGACATGCCAGGAACAACCAGCCCGGTTCACCGAGCGGGTGAGACTGATGCCTGGCGAGGACTGTAGGACCTCAAGGCTCCCGGCTCCTGGAGAGAACGGTCCAGACCCTTGGACCAGACCCCCCGTGGGCGGTCTGGTCCACAAGCCCAGCGTATGGTGGGAGGATGCCCTGAAGACACAGAGCCAGTGGCACGGGTCGCTCAGCAAACCACAGGGCAAAGTCCAGGGGCTTGTGGGCAGGGGCAGACCCAGAAAAGTGATGGTTGAGCCTGTTGTCAGCTGGGCACATGGGGAAATTTAAAATCCATCCTCCTGCCCCCATCCCCAGGGCTGAACTGCCCCATCCCCACCTGCCAGCCCTCCAGAAACTAGCCTCGAACGTGTTCGTCGTCCGCAAGGATTCACCCAGACTCTGGAGCATTTCACAGCAACTGTTTGCAGTGGTTGACCACCTACTTTTCTCCTCCTCAACTGAATGAGCAAAACCAGTTTTAAAAAACAGGAGTGTAACAACTGCAAACGACACAGTCTGGGGGGCTGAGGGGGGAAGGTCCGTGGCTGAAATAAAAACCTTCCAGTTTTGGGAAGAGTTTCATGAACAGCCGAAACCCAGGACTCAGTACAATGGTACAAAACCCACGCTTAGCTCCCAGCTGGCCAATGCTTTTCAATGAAAAAAAATATGTATTTTAAATGTATCTTGTCCAAATTAAAGGGGAAAAAAGTGTCACTACAGCAGTCTAAATTTTTTTTTCTTTATTTTTTTTTTTTAACTAAACAAAACAAAGAAGCTGCCCTTGGGGCTTTCGATTTGGTTTTCAGAGACCCAGAAAGTGAGCGCCGAGGTGAAAGGACACAAAAAAGCGATCATTTTGTTTCATCTTTCGGGTTGAAGAAAAGCTAAACCATCCACAAAAAAACAAGCCAAAAAAACGCACGGGATTAAATAATTTTGTGGATTTATTTTTCAAGGGGAAACAAATCAGCTTTTCCCACCACCGCTGATTCATGGGGTTAACAGGAGCTCCAGGATTAGAATGATGCTAAGGCTGATTTAAAAATAACCAGATAAAGCCCCGAGCTTCAGGGTATGACTGAACCCCAGGCTGACTGCTTAGAAATACCATCCTCCCCTCCCAACCCTGGCCATCCCGCTAGACCATCCCCACACCTGTGGGTTTCTTGCTCCTTTCTCTGAAATATGGGTCCAGCTACGATCAGGGACCACAGAGCTGATCCTCAGGTCCTTGGACTCAATAGATGCCCCACGTAAGAGCTGTACAGACTCACAGATACCAGGACTCGGCCACAAACCCCGCTGCAGATCAGGCTTCTCCATGGATTGCTCCACTCCACCTCCAAAGTCTCTCTCTCCCCTTGACCTGCGCTGGGAAAGGGTCTGGGGAGCGTGACGCATGCCCATGGACACCCACTCTCCGTTGAGCCCATTTTGCTTTTATTACCACGCAGTAACGCACGCTACAGCTGTTGACGACCTACGACAGGGACCGCACACGCACACACGCACAAAACAAAAATAATAAGTTAAAATAAAAATGTGTAAAAAAAGAGGGGAAGAAAAAAAAACAGAAAAAAGGCAAAAAGGAAGGAACAGAAAAGGGTTGTGTACATGGAGCTTCTTGGTGGACATTTTTATTTGATCTTATGGTTGATGGACGGCTTCCAGAGGCAGGGAAGGGCGGCTCGGTTCGTTGCCTCGGAGCGCGCAGTCTCTGGGTTGGCGTTCCCTCGTCCTCCTCTTCCTCCTCCTCCGTTGTGTGGGAGCTCTCATTTCCAAAGGCCGCCCGGTGCGCTGAAGAGCTGAACCGTGTGATGAGGGAGGAACTGGGCTGTCGGCCTCTCCTTTGGGCCTGGGCACCGCGGAGGAAAGTCAGCGGTGGTCGCTTGCTTTTGTCTGTGTGAAGTCTCGAGAGTCTGGTTTTGTTCCCGTCCCGTATTTCCCCCTCCTCCCCCTGGTTCCTCTCATTGGTTTAGTCGCCGGCAGCCTGTCCCCTGGCTAGTCATTGGAAGTGACATCAATGTCTTCCCCACTGGACTGCTTGGTGGCAATCCGCCATCTATTGATGTGATGGGAACCCTTCTTCTTCTGGTCTGACTCGGGGCCTTCCTCTTCCAGCTTCTGCCTCTTGTATTTCGTCCTTCTGTTTTGGAACCACACTTTCACCTGGGCGAGACAAAAAAAGGGGCATGGGGGAGTCAGTGGCTCGGCTCGCATGGAAATATGCTGGGGCTAAGCCCATCCTCCGGACTGACTCGCTGCAGACCCTCTGCTTTCCCCAGCACTCCAGCCCACTACTGCTTCTGCCTCACATTTGGTCTTAATTAACTTCCTTTCCCCCCCCAGAGTCTACTGATTACCAGTGAATAATAGGCAGGCAGCACATTGGCAGAGCCTCCTTTGGAGACTCGCCAAACATCTATCCCAGGCTACAAGTGTTCAAAACTGTGTCGTGCCTGTAAAATCAGTGTGTGGCTCCACTGTGGTAACTCACAGTTCCCATCTCACTGCAAAAGCTCAGTGGCAGCTGGGCTGCTCTACACCATTGTGTCAGCTACAGATACAGATATGGAATCAGCTACCCCCTGGCTGATGCGGCAGTGCCGGCAAGACCTTTCGTGTGGCTGCAGCTGTGCTGACAGGAGATGGCTTCAGGCAACTTAGAGGGAAGTTATATGTACATTGAGCTCTGTGTGGACACTCATGTTTTGAGTGCCCTTAGCATGAGTACTCAACATAAGTAACAAGCTCTGTGTGGACACTCGTGTTTTAAGTGCCCTTAGTGTACTAAGGGCACTTAAAACACGAGTGTCCACACGGAGCTTGTTACTCATGCTAAGTGCCCTCTGAGTACCTCAAAGTTATGCCACTTCAGGCAAGGGTCAACTCTGGGCTGTGCTACCTAGCTTGTGTTAGGGTAACTTCAGTCTGCTCCACAGATACAATGAGCAATTAGCAGTCCTCCAGCATCCCAGAGTGCACTGCTTCCAGCCCCCCACCCACTCCCAAGCAGGGATAAACCCCCCAGGTGTCCCAGCTTCTAGCCACGCCCCTGATTGCCAGCCCTCTAGTGGCAAGTCAGAGCATAACAGGCACAAAATGGCGTTTCATAGATTTCATAGACATTTGGGCTGGAAGGGATCCTGGAGGATCATCGAGTCCAGCCTCCCACCCCATGGGCAGGAAGATAAGCATCCAAATGGGTCTTGAAGGCATTCAAAGTGGGCGCTTGAACCGCCTGTGGTGGCAGTCTATTCCAGACCTTGGGGGCTCGGACAGTAAAGAAGTTCTTCCTTATGTCCAGCCTGAAACAGTCGCAGCAGAGTTTGTGACCGTTCGACCTTGTCATCCCTTGGGGCGCTCTGGTGAACAAACGTTCCCCCAGATCCTGGCGGTCACCCCTGATAAACTTATAGGTGGCCATCAGAGCATCCCTGAGCCTCCACTCTTCCAAGCTAAAGAGCCCCATGGCTCTCAGCCTGTCGTTGTAAGGTCTGTTTTCCTGACCTGATCATGCGTGTGGCTCTTCTCTGGACCCTCTCAAGCTTCTCCACATCCCTCTTGAATAGTGGAGCCCAAAACTGGACGCAGTACTCCAGCTGCGGCCTCACCAAGGCCGAGTACAAGGGGAGAATGATGTCCCGGGATTTGCTTGAGAAGCATCTATGGATGCAAGCCAGCGTTTTGGTCGCTTTACTAGCCGCAGCATCGCATTGCAGGCTCATGTTCATCTTGTGGTCAATGATG